AATAGGGGAGACATGATAGCAGTATTCCAGTATTTGAGGGGCTGCCACAAAGAAGAGGGAGCCACATTATTCTCCAAAGCACCAGAGGCAGGACAAGAAACAATGGTTGGAAACTGATCAAAGAGAGAAGCAACTTGGAATTAAGGAGAAACTTCCTGACAGTGAGGACAATTATCCAGTGAAACAGCTTGCCTTCAGAAATCGTAGGCGCTCCATCACTGATTTTTAAGATGAGGCTAGACAATCACTTGTGTGAGATGGTATAAATTCTCCTGCTTGAGCAGGGGCTGGACTAGAAGACCTCCAAGATCCCTTCCAGCTCTATTCTATTCTATTCTATTCTATTCTATTCTATTCTATTCTATTCTATTCTATTCTATTCTATTATTTTTGTTTAATTTTTGTTTACTGCCAAATTCAACATGTTGCAAAATTGTGACACTTATAGGAAGTATATGTGGGGAAAATTCTAACAGCATGGTGAAATTGGTTATGAAATAAGTTAAACTGGGTTCTCTGATAAAATATTTTGAGATTGATTAGAGGTGTTATAGAATATGCAGCTTAGTTTTCTTCCAGCTATTTAGCACAACTGGGTGATCTTGAAAATTAAGTAGGATCAAAACTAGTCAGTATTTGAGTAAAAAAAAAAACACAGGAAATACTGGGTAATTCTCTACGTTGTAGAAATTTTAAAACTATTTGTTAAAATTATATCTGGAATAATAGAATAATGATGCTATGCATTAAAGAATTCCTATTATTGAGCAGTATAAATATATAATAAGTAACCATTAAGCATGCTTTAGTGCAGACATGTCAAACTCGTGATGTCACATGATGTCGCACAACATATCGGAGCTTTTTCCCCATTGCCAGCAATGGGGTGGGTGTGGTTTTGTTGTGATGTGTCCAGCCCGTGGGCCGACAGTTTGCAGGCCTGCTTTAGTGCATAGATGAAGAGAACAATATACATATGCACGGTGGATGGTAAACTCATACAAAGACAGATGCATGCTATTGTCCAGATCACCTAGATCCTAGACCTTCCTCAACAAAACACATTTCAGCTTATGTGTCATTCATCTCCATAAAAGTTACCATCAGACAATTCTGCATGATTGGTGCTGAAACACCTTTTGTGTTTCAGGCATCAACTTGTATTTTATAAACCAAATTGCTACCCAGGAAATATACAATATTGAATATAGTACAGTATTTTTCATGTTTGAAATGTGAGCACAAGGTACTAGAACACATAAAGTTGATTTTGCACAACATATTTACTTTGGTTAAGGATAGAACATATTTAATTTGGTTATGGAAATAATCTATTTTCTGTATTTGCACAATACATTGAATAATAAGCTAAATTGGCCTGGTTGCACAAAATGGTGAGCCACAAATAACTACAGTAAGGTTAAAAGGTATCAAACTAAACATATTGTGTAAATCCAGCCATTGAGAAAAATATTATAAATCTCTCTTTCCCCCCTTTCTTTCTATACATTCTACAGCAGTGCAATAATAGGCTCTAATTGCTACGTTACCTTCTTTTTTTTACAATATCATTTGTCTGCAGCATGTAGATCTGCACAGAAACAATGTTTTAAAATTAATTATGTTTGTTCATAAGTGCATTCCTGCTGCAAACAGCTTGGCTGGCTGTGAGTTTGGCTTCCCTTCCTTCCAGGTAGCCAGAACAAATTATTCTGTCAAGTCCACTTAAGTTCCCCTATAAATTCCCATTTACTAGTGAATTTCATCTGTGAATACTCATTCTGTATTCATTTTATGAACTTCTAGCAAATTCCAGTTTTATCCCTCTTAGTCAGGGAAAGAAAACTTCTAGATTTATAGAAGTAGTACAGGTAGTCCTCGACTTACGACCACAATTGAGTCCAAAATTTCCATTGCTAAGGCAGTTGTTAAGTGAGTTTTGCCCCATTTTACGACCTTTCTTGCCGGAGTTGTTAAGTGAGTCACTGCAGTTGTTAAGTTAGTAACATGCTTGTTAAGTGAATCTGGCTTCCCCATTGTTTTTGCTTGTCAGAAGGTCATAAAAGGGGATTACATGACCCTGGGACACTGCAGCCCCCACAAATAGCCTTTCTCCAAGGGAGATGGGCAGTTAAGAAATATGAAATATAAATAAAATAAATACATACCAGTGGCCAATTGTCCAAATTTTGATCACATGACCACAGAGATGCTGCAACAGTCATGTGAAAAACAGTTATAAGTCACGTTTTTCAGTGCCATTGTAACTTAGAATGGTCAGTAAATGAATGGTTGTAAATTGACGATTATCTGTATGCATCTTCCAGCATTATCCTGCACATTTTTGAGGAAGAATGAATAATATCAGAAAGATGGGTTGGCGTATGCAACTTTTATTTTATTAGCTCTTTTATTCTTAATGGCAAAAGCTATTTTGGCAAGTACTACTTTACTTTGCCAAGCACTACTTTCAGTTCCAGGTCCAGTTCTGGGCACTGCAGTCTATGATGGACTAGGAACAAGTTCAGAGGATGCCTACTAAGATCAGAGGACCGGAAATTAAGTCCTAGGAGGAATAGTTAAATGAACTGGGTACATCTAGCCTATCTAAGTTGCAATCTTTAGCTTCCAAAGTGTTTTTGAATAGAGCAGACAGAAGACTTATTCTTTGTCACTCTGAAGGACCAGACCCGAACCAATGGTTTAAAACCATAAGGAAGTAGATTTGGATTTGGAACGTCCTCATAGTAAAAGCTTTCAAGCAGTGGAATAGCATATTGTCAAATTTATGTGCTGTCCATCTCACAGCTCAAGGCAACTCTGAGCAGTTGCCTGGTAAAGTGATTAGTAACATGTTCTTCTCCAGTGGACATCTTCAAAGAAAGGCTGAAAAGCCAACATTGTGTAGTGAATTAAGGAGGCTGGACTTGAAAGGACTCTGAGGTCCTTTCAAGGTGGATGAATATTCCCCTACCATCTACTCACCCCTATGTTACATTGGCTGTCCTTGCTAATTCTTATCTTGATCTCCTGTCTCTATTGGCTAGTTCCTGGTCACAAAGCTAACATTTTGTACACCTTGAGGGTGTAAGGTACAGCTACAGATGACTTAAGCTTTGTCTTACTTATTGTCTAGATTAAGATGGGATAAGAGAAAAATAAGTCTTACCATTGAATGATTTGCCATGGCTAGGTGCAAATGGGGCATTGATTATGATTTGTAGTTGTTTCAGTGAATCCCAGTCCTATAAAATTGTCAGGATCTGTGCATCAGATTCAGGGTTTTTGTGCTAGTTCTGCACGCCGATGACCATTCCCCAAGTTATAATATCTGTGGCTATTACAGCTCTTTCCCCATAGACAGATGTTATCTGTAGTAGGTTCAAGTGGTTCATTAAAAAAAACTGAGCGAATCTATTAGAACTGATGTCTTGGGTTCACTTTTTGTCCTCTGACAGCTCCAGATTTAATCAGATTTGTGATTCTTACGGTTCTTTCTTTCCATGCTGGATTCCACGTAAAATAGACAAATCTATTCTTGGCTCCATGTTTTCCCACGACGTGATGCCAACAATGATAAGGAATCCCAAACCATTATGGCCCATTCTTTATAGATAAATGTATTCTGTACTTTGAAAGTTAGCTGAGATGGATTCACTCTGGGAAAGGACAACACAGTACCATAATGCTGGAAGCTAGCAATTCGCTTCGGATATTTTTATTTTATTGAAAGTAAACATCAATTCAGTTCGGGGAGGAAAACTGGCGGGGCACAGAAAGCTCTCTGACTAGCTCCCGCGCTAACCTGCGAGCAACCTCCGAGGAGACCTTTGGACCTCTCCGGATTGTTTGGAAAAGCAGCTATTCAGGGAAAGAGTCCCACTTCGGCGGAAGAAGTGGGTGTTTGGGAGCTGTACAAGTACAAGGCAAGGAAAAGTGTGAGGGGGCGGCGGCTGCCTCTTTCCCCCCCGCCACCGATCTTTCGCTCTCTCTCTCTCTCTCTCTCTCTCTCCCTCCGCCCCCCCCTTTCCCCTCCTGCGCAGGCTGCTCCCTTCCTACCCCGGTTACCGTGGCAACCGCCCGGATTTCCCCGGTCCCGCGTCTGCTGCGGAATCGCTCGGCGGCAGCAGCAGCAGCAGCAGCAGCCGCCGCCGCCGCCCGCTGCCGGAATCGCTCCTGCTGCCGCTGCCCTCCTCACCGCCTCGCATGGAGCTGCTGGCTGCCGCGCTCAGCGCCGCCTGCGCCTTGGACCACGAAGGATCCGCCGAGAGCGTGGCCGCAGCCCGCCCAGCTGACAGGTGAGGGATTTAAAAAAAAAAAAAAAAAAGTGGGGATGAGTTCGCGCGTCCTCCGCGGGGGCGCCCCTTCCGCCCCCAGCCGCCACGCGCGACGCCGCCGCTCGCTTCTGCCACTCCGGAGCGCCAACTCCGGCTGCGGGCGCCTTTCCTGGGGAAAAGCTGCCGAAGTTCCGTTTGCTTTCGGGCCCGGCTGACTCCCGCAGGGGAAAGGGGAGGCTCTGCCGCCCGGAGCCAGCTGGCTGACGCCGGGTCTCCTGCTTAGACTCTCCCCGACCCCTGGTTCTCTCGCTAAGCCCCCAAAGGGCGCGCAAGAGTTAAAACTCCGCCGTCTGTGGAGCCTCGCCCCCGCTTGGCTACCTTCCCTCCTTCTTCGTTTGCCCGCGTTTAGCGCGATGGTTTCCTCCGCGAAGTCCTCTTCCTGCCCCGGGGACTTCTAGTTAAGGAGAGCTAATGCCTCTTAACAGGTGGAGTCAAGGAAGGGCGGCCGGGAGGGGAATGGCTGAAGCCCCGGTCAAGTCACTCTGATTTGCTATAATTCCTCAAGCACTTACAGCGCGGCTAGTCCCTGCCTTGAGAAAGCTGGGAATCCCGGGCAAAGGCTGGGAACGGCTCGAAAGAGGCACTGAAGCTCAAACGGCGTTGCTTCCCTCTCTCTCCCTCTCTCTCTCCCTCTCTGTCTACCAAAGCGAATCCCCCTCCATGGCGGGGCCAACTTCTTTCCCGGAAGAGACCCCTGAGCAGACTGACTGCCCGACTGCTTTCCCCGAAGCTCTGCAGATGATTCACCCCATGACCGCAGACTCTTGGAAGAACTTCATTGAGCAAATCGGTAAGGGGACTCTTCCGCTGCAGTCCCGAGGGCTGCAAGCTGCGTTGGAGCGGGCAGGCGTATTTAGACGAGAGACCTCCGTGCTTGTCCTGTTTGAGAAAAAGCAGTTTAAGGGAAAATATCATTTAAGAACGACGAAGTAGGAATTGATAACATTTGGTTCCAAGGGTGTCCACCGGGAAGGGCTTCTATTTATTTGCTTGCTTGTTTATATTTAGCCTGTGGCATCTACAGAAGTCGGGCAATATTAATTTATATCCAAAACTAATAAGGGAAGGGTTCAAAAAAGTCGAGTTGCTGGCCACCACAAAAAAAAAGGGGTGGGGCCATGATTGCATGATTGCAGCTGCCATCTTGCCTTTTTTTGACCCCCCTGTCCCTGCAGCTCTCCCCACACATACACTTTGAATTGTTCCAGTTTTGTGCTGTCACAAATTTGTGCAGATAAAAGTTTGGATGCCTTTTTGGATGAAGATGAGGGGAAATTGATTCTGAATTACTGTTTTGGAGCAGAACACATGCAGAGAAGAAAAGCCCAAAATTGAATTTTGAATGGCTGAAGATAATTAATTTGAATGGCTGGAGATAATTAATTTGTATTATTAATTATGTTTTTAGAACAGGCCTGTTATTTAATTCGATTTTAAAACAAACTATTTATTTATTATCGTGGTTTTTAGTATCGCCTGTTCACCGCCCTGAGTCCCGCAAGGGAGATAGGGCGGTATATAAATTTAATAAATAATAATAATAATAATAATAATAATAATAATAATAATATGCAGCAGAAACACATCAATAATAATATAAAACACTTTAAATATATGCTTCCCTTTACACCAAAGTATATTAACTTCATTCATATCTAACTTCACCTTCAAGCACGAAATAATTTTCCTATCTCCCATCTTTCACTATTCAGTGCCCACGTTAATGCTAAGCAAAATCTTAATTATTAAGTCGATTTTCAACAAGTATTGAAAATATGTTTTTTAAAAAATGTAGTTCAAGGGACATTATGTTTCATTCCATATCATAAGATGTCTAAAAGCAATTTCTCTCTCAGTTACGTGTGGGAAGCTAGCATGGTCTCCAAGATACAGTTGTCCTGCTGCTATTTTAGTCTCACTTTGAGTAGTGTTCCAAAAACAAAGTGATTGCGGTATATACTTTGAAAGAAAGTATAGTTTGAAAGAAAACCATTTTTATGGTGACTTTCCCGTGACAAATTATGCATCTTTCTAAATATGGTGATGTTGTATGTACAGTATTAGTGCTATGCCTTGATCCATACAAGTACAGTAACTTCTGAATAAATGCTTACAACTTCAAATAAAATATAAAGCCTTATTAAAATATGTATTTAAATACACAATGTTAATTCAACACTTTATAAAATAAAAAAAAATTATTTAAGCATTGCTAAATTTTAAAATGGAAGGAACCTCACAAAAACCTAGCACAAATTCAAATGACTTCAGAATGAGTGTTTTTAGACTCTTGTAACTGACATTTTGATTTGTTTGAAACAGCATTTATATTGTGAGGGACTTAATTTCTGCAATTTCTAAGAAAGATGAAAATGGATGATGATGATGCACGTTTTATTTGCATTTCATGTTTTCAGTGATCTTTGATGTTAATTGTGAAGGGATTCTGATATTTCTGCAGTTATTTCATAACATACACAAGACTAGTCCTATATTATAACTTAAATTTGAAGGCATTAAGCATGTAGTAAAACCTGTATTGATTGCCTATGATAGATTTTTATGTAGTTTCGGCTTATTTAAATAGTAATGTTTCATTTTGGCTTTTCAATGTAGTGATTTTGTTGCACTTTTTTCATATTTTGCTCTGATGAGCAGAAAAACAAATAATGAATTTCTTTATACCTTTGGAATTGTGAGATCTTAAAAAGTTTTCACTATATAATTTTTCTTCAGCCATGTGCTTGTGTAATTCTAGGTCAGATTACATGTGAATTTGATAGATGGGAACAAAATACTGTTGTGTTTCTCCTATTATGTTATTTACATAATTCCATTAACTACTTTATGGAGAGAGGAAGTCTCATCCCTAGTCCTATTCTGTGCCAAGAAAATAAGTTTTCTTTTATGTAAGAGTAAGAATGGCGCAATCAGAGATGTAATTACAAAGAATAAAATTGTAAATTTTATTGGAAATCAAACAGAAGTAAAGTAGTTTTGGATGTTGGTGTGTATTGCTTGGTTACAGTTACAAATCCTTTGAATGAAAGAGAGAGGAGGACTGTTTGGAAATATTCTAATCCTAATTCAAAATACTTAATGGAAAATGGTGCACCAAATTCTATTCCTCAAATCAAATGTTATAAGCTTATTTCTGTTGTATCTGCTGTCTTTCACTCATGCACATACTGAAATGGGGTTCATATAGTATTCCAAGCTGTAATTTTTATTTCTTTTCTCTCTGTGTTTCTTGCAAACCCAACCATGTTTTATTCAATAAAGCATGGTAACAGTATATTAACTCCAGACTGTTTATGGAGATTCTCAGTCATCCAGGTCATAGTTGTCCCAAAGATGCTTTTTCATGAGGCAACCAGGCTTTCTTATTTTTCTTTGAAGACGTTTCACTTTTCATCCAAGAAGCTTCTTCAGCTCTGACTGGATAGTGGGGAATGGAAGGATGTATACTCCTTGCAGACAGCTGGTCATTTGCATTCTTTTAGAGAGTCATTGAGGCCACCTGGAGGTTTATCTGTGTCGTCAGGGTCACCTGAGTAGTGCAAATGAGCGTGGAGCCTTCTTGGAACTATTGAAAGGACTGTGTTGAAAGGACTCAAAGAGGCCATCAATGTCAAAATTGAACAGTCCCTCTCAACAGAGGGGGGTGGATACGACATGATCTGTCTCCAGTCTACAACACAGTCTTTTCAATAGCCATCAAAACCTAGGTCATGTCTGTGATGTGATACACTGCTGGAATTATTAACTGGACAGTTTGGACCAAAAAACAAGAAAACTAGTGATTATTTACTATGCATTACAACTTCGTAGTAATATTGATAGATTATACCTGCCTTGCAGAAATGGAGGCAAAGATTTACTTCAAGTCAAACATACAGTTAAAGAAGAACAGCATGCATTGGCTGATTATGTAAAAAACAAAAGATGAATATTGAAATAATATAACAAAGAACAGAATGCTGGCAAGGAAAAGCATTACATAGTCAATTTCTGCAAAAGATTGAGGGGAAAGTGGATAAAGATAACACCTGGTAAGTTGAACATTAAGAAAGAAGAAATGGAAGACTTGATTTTGGCTATTCAAGAGCAAGTTATTCAAAATAATTGAATCAAAGCCAGAACTGAAAAATCATCAAATCATTCAAAGTGCAGATTGTCCAAAGAAGCAGAAGATCTCACAAACTGATTATAAATAACAATATAACAAATACAGTCACCAAAATGATTCACTGGAACATCTGTAAAAATTATCATGTGTCAGTAAAGAAAAACTGGTGGCAACATAGAGTTGAAAAAGTAGCCAAAACCGAACAAGTTAAAATATCATGTGATTTCTGAATACAAACCGATAAACTCTTGGCCCATAACACACCAGATTTAACTGTGGTTGAAAATCAGAAAGTGCATTTAATCAATGTGGCAATACCAAGGGGTGGTAGAATAGAAAATAAGAACTGGAGAAGATCGTAGAATAGAAAATAAGAACTGGAGAAGATCACAAAGTATTAAGATAGGGAAAATGGAAGTTGAAAGATTATGGCATAAATTGGCTGTAGAGGTTCCAGTGGTTATCAGCACATTGGATGCCATACCAAAAAATCTTGGATGGCACTTAAAAAATTTGCAAATTGACAAAATTTCTCTCAGTCAATTACAAAAGGCCACACTGCTTGGATTTGCACATATACAAACTAATATATTATGATATCCTAGGTTCTTGGGAAGAACTCAGTGTGTGTGAAGACCAACACCAACCAAAGAACTGGCAGCTGTAATTTCACATTGTTGTGTATATAATAACAGTTTATTAGATTTATATGCTACCTGACTGCCAATGACTCTGACCAATTTACAAATTGTTAAAAACATTTAAAAACAAGGAACAATTAAAAAAACCAAAACAACACAAACCAAAGGAAAAGAGATGGCAGAAAAAACAAATCCAGATGAATAACAGAGTTGGAAGGGACCTTAAAGGTCTTCTAGTCTCCCCCCCCCCCCCGCTCAGGCAGGAAACCCTATACCATTTCAGACAAATGGCTGTCCAATCCCTTCTTAAAAACCTCCAGTGTTGGAGCATTCACAACCTCTGGAGGCAAACCGTTCCACTGATTAATTGTTCTGTCAGGAAATTTCTTTTTAGTTCTATGCTGCTGCTTCCTTGATTAGTTTCCATCCATTGCTTCTTGTCCTGCCTTCAAGAGCTTTGGAGAATATCTTAATTCCCTCTTCTTTGTGGATATCACTGAGATATTGGAACACAGCTATCATGTCACCCTAGCCTTCTTTTCATTAAATTAGACATACCCAATTCCAGCAACCATTCTTTATATGTTTTAGCCTCCAGTCCCCTAATTATCTTTGTTGCTCTTCTCTGCACTCTTTCTAGAGTCTCAACAACTTTTTTATATCATGGTGACCAAGTGTGGCCTTATCAAAGCATTGTAAAGTGGTATTAACACTTCACGTGATCTTGATTCTATCCCTCTGTTAATGCAGCCTAGAACTCTGTTGGCTTTTTTTGGCAGCTGCAGCACACTGCTGGCTCATTTTTAAGTGATTATCCACTAGGACTCTAAAATCCTTCTCACAGTTATTACTAGGTACCACCTACTATACCTGTGCATTTGGTTTTTCTTGCCTAAATGTAGAACCTTACTTTTCTCACAATTGAATTTCATTTTGTTAGATAGCACCCAATGTCTGTCAAGATCTTCTGTATCTTCAGCCTATCTTCTGGAGTGTTGGCTGTTCCTGCCAGCTTGGTGTCGTCTGCAGATTTGATGAGTTCCCCATCTATCCCTCATCCAAATCATTGATGAAGTTGTTGAAGAGTATTGGGCCTAAAACAGAGCCTTGGGGTACCCCACTGTGTATTTCCCTCCATGTAGATAAAACAAGGTTACAAAGTGTTAAACAGTTAAAATAAAAATAGAATAAAAGAAAAGAAAAGAAAATCTTTACTTTTGGAGGAGCTTTTTACAGCCTTTGCTGCCTGTCCATTACCTTTGCTCCACCTTCATGTAGATGTAGTTCCATTGAGGACTACATGTTGACTGCGGTTAGTCAGCCAGTTACGATTCCATCTGGTGGAGATGCTGTCTAACCCACGTTTTTCTATCTTATCAAGTAGTAGGTTGTGGTCTACTTTATCATATGCCTTACTGAAGTCCAAGTAAATTATATCCACAGCATTCCTCTGGTCCACTAATTTTATCACTTTGTCAAAGAATGCAATAAAATTTGTCTGGCACAATCTGTTTTTGACAACCCCATTTGGCTTTTGGTTATGACTTTGTTTGCTTCTAGGTGTTCACTGAGTTGTTGCTTGATTATCTTTTCCAGAATCTTCCCAGGCTGATAGGTCTTTAGTTTCCTGGATCTATTTTTTTTCTTTTTTGAAGAATAAAGAAAAAAAGCTTATCTGTTGCTCCCAGCTAAAGATGGCATCACCCACCCCCAAACACAAACATTTCAGAGAGCAGTTAATGATTTTCTTGCCTTGGTGAAATTGTTGGAGGAAGAGGGAAAACGAAAATTTACAAAGAGGAAACCTGTAAATCACTGCTCTGAAACTATCTCACACATTAAATTGCCTAAGAATCAGTGCCCAGTCTTGTAACTGAGACATATTAAAGGCTGACCATGAGTGTATCAGTATAAACCCTGATACGCTTTCCTCCAATCTCAGAGATAAAGGAAGAGTAAATTGATATAGCCATAAGGATGAGCCCATAGTCTTAAGAGTCCATAGAAGTAATCAGTAGTACACTACCCTACAATTAGCTCAAATTGCATTGTCTTTTTATATGGTGCCTACAATTCTGGATTTGTCTCAGGAGGGAATATTCTGAAACATCTTCATTTCACATGCAACATGGGAGTAATTAAGTAACAGATTATGCATTCTGTGACTTTCTAGGTTTGTTGTATCAAGAATATCGGGATAAATCCACACGTCATGAGATTGAAACCAGGCGGCTGCAGGACTCCCAGACAGATACTGAAGAAGGCTCAACTACTGAAGAGTCACCAATAGAAACTGAAACTGCAAATGTGTTAGAAAACAAAACTGTCCCCCAGATTAACTTGCTCAGGAATTCCACATCAAGGTTCAATTTATGGCAAGATCTTCCAGAAGTCAGAAGCAGTGGTGTTTTGAATATTCTCCAGCCAGATGAAGTCAAGCTTCAAGAGGTAATATCAACTAAAGGGGAGGAGATAGAAAGGGGAAACACTCTTGATATTTCATGGAAATAACTATTGGTTGACTGATTTATGCCAGTTACAAATATTTAAGATTACTGTATGTTTACTGCTTTATGAAATTTTGAACTAAGTTCATCTTGTTTTTGCTAAATTAAAGAACATTCTGATCCTGCTCAGCTTTGGCTCTAGCTGTTCCATCAAGAGTGAGCTGCTAGTGAATAAGTAACATCAGTGTGTAGAGGTCATAATCCAGGCTCAGGTTGTTTAAAAGAGAAAAATATGCTAATAAAAGTAGGGCTTATTGGGATGGATTGACAAATTCAGTAGTAGATGTCATTGAAGGTCATTCTCCCCAAAGCATTTTAAAATCTTGAATGTTATATTGTTGATCTTTCAACTAAAATATATAACTTATTACTAAAATGCTGATCCATTGGCATTACATACCTTCCTATTTTGCAAAGAAGGTTTAGGAAACCCAGAAAATTGTAGCAATCAGAACCTGAGTAGATTGATAGAAAGCAACATTATGATTTATTTATAAAAACAATAAAGGCGGGATAAAAAAATAAACACTTTAGGAATTGTTGATTCCAGTAGAGCAGGAATCCATGGCCTATTATCGCATCATGGCCTATTCATAACCAGGCCATGCCAGCAGCAGGCCGGTGCACATGCACATTCACTCGCATGCATGTGTGTTCTGGCACACTGTTCACGCAATCCAGTTCCCTTCTTCCCTCACCCCGCAAGCTGGGCCATCAAGCTGCAAAGGTTGGAGACTACTGCCGTAGAGAAATTAGGGACACCAGTGTTAGAAAACCATCTCTAGAAGTTGAATATAATATATTCTAAAATCATTGATTGTTGTACAGTGGATTTTATGAACCATTGTTCTTTCTTAGCATGATCTTTTTATTTTCTTGCACAAATTTATTCATAGCTTTAGTGTAACAAAGTCTTGGAATATGATTATTGGGCTCTGAATTGCACATCATGAGAATCTCTACCATCGTGATTAATATATATCAGCACATTTCTTTTTTTTAAACAATATTTTATTAAATTTTGTAAAGGGAAGAGAAGAGAAGGATCGACATAGATAGTGGGATTCAGGGTGGGGTTCAGGAAAGGAGTTGGGATAGGGGTAGGTACAACAATGGGGTTGCCCCCAATGACATTCCAAGCTTTAGCAAACAAACTATCGTCCGGATACAAGTATTCAGTGAGAATAGTTAATATAATAATAAGTAGTTAATATAATAATGTCAACAAAAATAGCAATAATTATAGAGCATGTCAGATAATCAATAAACATCAATCATCTTAGTAAATTTCACAATCATTTTTCACTAACTCTTTTTGCTAACCATTGATAAAAGTTTTCCCATGTTTTAAAATAAACTGAGTCTTCTTTCTCTTTAATCTCTACAGTTAGTCTGTCCATTTCTGCACATTCTAAAATTTTCCTAATTATGATCTCATCAGATGGTACATTTTCATTTTTCCAATATTGGGCAAATGCTATTCTCGCAGCTGTCAATATATGTAATATTAAATACTCATTCTCTTTCCCATAGTTAGATCCTAGTATTCCTAACAAAAACAATTCTGGCTTAAATTCTATCTGTATTTTAGTATCTTTTCCAGCCATATATGAATCTTAGACCAAAATTTCTTTGCACTAGGACATACCCACGAGATATGGTAATAGGTACCTGGCTTTTGTTATTCAAAACATTTTTAAACATTTTCGCTAGCCTTATTGGTGTCATGTGCCATCTGTAAAACATTTTATATAGGTTTTCTTTATATGAAGCTGCTTTAGTCAGTTTAATATTTCTATCCCATAACTTTTGCCAAAGTTCTAAGTCTATAGAATATCCGAAGTTTTTTGCCCAAACTATCATTGTCTCTTTTACTTGTTCTTCTTCCATCTTCCATTTTAGCAGAAATCTATAAAGTTTCTTAATCAAATTTTCATCTGTTTTCAAGAGTATTTGGTCAAATTCTATCTGTTCTTTATAAAATCTCGTTGTCTTTAGATCTTTCTCATATCTTGTTTGGATTTGTAGGTAAGGCCACCATGATAAGTCAATACCTTGTTGTTGTAGATTTTGCCTGTCTTTAAGTTTTCCGTCCTTATCCAAAATGTCTTTATAAGTAACAAGTTTGTCATAATTAATTAAATTTGGGTAAGCAAAAGCTTCCATTGTTGAAAGCCACTCTGGTATTTTAATATAAATTTTTTGTTTTATTCTCTCCCATTCTAAAAGCAGTACATTCCTTATAGCATGGTTTTGAAAATATCTGTGTATTTTATTTTTCCCATACTACAGAAAGGCATGCCAACCCAATTGTAGGTCATGCCCCTCTAGGTAGAGAAGTCTTTTATTTCTCAACGTTATCCATTCTTTGATCCATGGTAAAATGGCTGCTTGATAATAAAGTCTCCAATCCGGGAGTCCAAATCCTCCACTATCTTTAGCTTCTTGTAACATTTTAACTTTAATTCATGCTTTCTTCCCTTGCCATATAAATCTTAATACTGTTGCATTTAAATCATCAAAGAATATCTTTCCCAATTTTACAGGGATTGTTTGGAATAAGAAGAGTAGTTTCGGTAGGATATATCAGCACATTTCTATCCTATAAAAAAGCTGAAAAATTATTCATTATTTCTGGACATAGAATTTAGGTCACTCTTATGTAATTTTTAAAATTATGTTATGATTGAGAAGAGACTTGTTATAGCTTTAATTTATTGCAGAAGCCAAGATTTCTGTTATAAATATAATTTTATTCCATATTAAATACCCCAGTCTTGCTGATCTATGTATAATATGTAAGGTTTAACTATTGACTAGTCCTTTCCCACAGCCCATAAAATTAATTCCAGATAGCCTTCTTTCCATAAGCCATAAAGACAAAGTGAACTTTTTAACTCCACTTGATTTTAGTGTACCTTACTGCCAGACATATTATCAATTTCAGCCATAATCTTCAAATCCACTACACATCAGTCAACAACATCTCAGAGTTATGCTGATTAAATAACTTCTAAAGTTAGTTGAAGAGCTGTAGGAATAAAGAGAAGCCTTTGGTCAATGCTGGCTTTGTGCTTCAGTACAGGTAGTCCTTGACTTACAACAGTTCATTTAGTGACTGAAGTTACAATGAAAAAAGTGACTTATGTTTGTTTTTCACATTTACAACCGTTGCAGCATCCCATGGTCACATGATCAGAATTCAGATGCTTGGCAACTGACTCATATTTATGACAGTTGCAGTGTCCCAGGGTTGTGTAATCATCTTTTGTGACCTTCTGACAAGCAAAGTCAATGGGGAAGCCAAATTCACTTAACAACAGTGTTAGTGTAATAACAACTGCAGTGATTCACTTAACAACTGTGGCAACAAAGGTCATAAAATGGGGCAAAATTCATTTAACAAATATCTTACTTAGCAACAGAAATTTTGGGCTCAGCTATGGTCGTAAGCTGAGGACTTCCTGTTCTTGGCTTTATATTTTGCATTAAATGTAATATTCTGGTTAGCAATGTTCAGCTATTTCAAAATCTGGGAGATATGAAAAACATTTGTTGTGCTTGCATAAAAGAGTCAGTCCCAAATATTTTTCAAAGCGGTTTGCTATTGCCCTCTGCCTAGACCTCAAAGAGATTGACTGGCCTAAATTCATCCAGTGGTGTCTAAGATAGGAATAAAACTCATGGTCTCCTGCTTTCTACTCTGGTGACTTAAGCCACTGCACAAACTGACTTTCATTAAAAAATGAAGCATGCTACTTTTTTTTAATAATCCCAGATTGTAACCAGGTCTGAACTAAAATATAATTTAATTTACATAGCTTGAGCCTAATGCTCAGTTATTGTTTATCCTATTGCAGTTTCTTTCTGTTTGCAAACAGTGTTAAAATATTGTATGCCATTCTGAAATTAAGTTGAACTAATAATGCAGGTAAAGAAAATGGTACATCAACATCAAATCTTGTAAAAAGAGTATATAATATATATAAAAACTGCAACGATACTATAGAAAATACAAGGATGTTATTTTCATTAATATTGCCCATTATATGTATTATTCCAGCCTTCATCAGATAAGATGTGACTGGAGAGGGACAATGGTACTTTTAAGTGTCCATCATTTGAAGGCATGGGAAACCATATCTGTGTTGTTGCAAAGACAACTCATGAACATGCCATGAAGTCACCAAGATTGGGATTTGAAGAACCCTATTCTCTTTAAATAGTAACTCTACATAATCTACCAAATAGAAACAGGGGAGATTATGGCAATTCTGAAATGAGTCAAGGAGACTATTTAACACAGAGCACAGAACTGTGATTATATACTCAAAGAAGAATAAGAAACAAACCTTGAGAGTCAGCTTTACTGCAGTGGCAGCTAAAATGTAGTGGTGAAAGCTTTCTCAGAGGATATCGGTAAGAAGGAATTAAATTGTCTTCTGGATGTTTCCTAGACTTGCTAGCTTGGGAATTATGGGAAGGGCCCTGGGCCTTGCTTAGAAGCATGATAGGTGGAGATCTGTGTTTGCTTTGCCCAGGATGGTCTCTTAACCATTACAGGAAAGTCTTTGTTGTTGTTGTTTTACAAGAAAGACGGAGGTACAAATAGTAGTTTGTAATACCATATAGATACACATTGGAAAGAGCCACCTAACTATCCTTAATTATGAATCTGAACAGGAACTGCCAGTGATTCAGGACAAGCAGGATGGGGACTTTCTCTTTCTTGCCCTCAATCAGATCCCATTACTGTCTTTTCCCTATGATCCAGACTGTCCTGGACTCCTTACAAGAACCTGCACATTTGCAGAGGTTTCAATATTTGCTCTGCTTTAATCCTACTTTTTGTTGTTACTTTTTCTGCTGTTGTCTTAATTTATCTCTACAAATATGGAGACATACATGATAGATGTTGGTTCCAGTCAAGCTGTAATCAAT